CCGGCACTTACATCTCAATAAACCCTTAATCTAAGAAGACCCTTTACCAATTCCAGCCACACTGCCTTCTTTACAGTTCCCAGAACATGCCACCACTCACATATCATGGTCTTTGCTCACAGCTGGCTCCTTTGTTCTCTTTGCCTTTGTTTAAATAGCACTCACAGTGGCCCTCTCTTGACCATACCAATTAACTCACAACACACAGCACACACCAGTTCCCCTGCATGGCCTTTCTAGTGCATTTTCCACCTTTTGGTACATTATGTAATTTACTTATCAACTTTTTGTCTGCTGCCACTTGGATGAAAACTCCAAAAGTCTATGGGTGTTGCTTACTGTGAATTCTAAACGCCTGACACACAGTAGCAACTCCATAGATACTTGATAAATGAGTCTTACTTCTTAGAATCCCTGGTAAATGTTCCTCTAGTTAGAGCTATGTAACCAGGTTATGCCTTCAAATATCTTTGTAGGAATGGAGGCCTAGCGTGGGGAGATGAAGGGGAAAATAGAAAGGGCAGAGGGCACTTCAAGGAGAATGGAATAGCCAACGTGGAGTGTAGTGGCTGGGCAGAAGTTTTTTATAACTATCAAGTATCATTCCTTGTTGGACCACCAGCCACACCTGAACTTTATCATGTGGATATAGTACCACACATAGATAATACTGGAGCCATTATATCACCAAAGACTAGATTGAGCGTTAAAGCCTGAAGAAAAGGGGAGTGGAGTCAGAGTAGGAAACAATAGCTGGAAAAAGTAGTCATGTGGAGTCACCAAAGGCCATAAGGGAACCAATTTGTCTTCTTAAATATTAAGTGTATGCACCAAGTTTTAGGTATTGTTGATTTCCTAGGGCTACCATAAAAAATACCACAAATTGGGTGGCTTAAAACAACAGAAATGTATTCACTCCCAAGTTCTGTAGGCCACAGGTCTGAAATCAAGGTGGTTACAGGACCATACTCTGAAATCTCTACAGATTAACCTTTTGTTGAATGTCCTAGCTCCTATAGCTGTAGGCTTTCTGGCAGTATAACTCCAATCTGTGCCTTCATCCTCATCCTGACGGGCTCTGTGTGTCTTTTTTTTTTTATGTAGCAGTTTTATTTATATTGCTTAATGATTCATCAGATGACAGTACACATATATGGAGCATACCACATGCCAGGCACTGTTTGAAGTATTCGACTTGCATTAGCTCACATAAAATTCTATGAAGTGGTGGGTTTGTTTTTGTTTTTAGAGCCAGGGTGTCGCTGTCGCCCAGGGTGGAGTGCAATGGCACCATCTCAGCTCACTGCAACCTCCGCCTCCCGGATTCAAGCGATTCTCCTGCCTCAGCCTCCTAAGTAGCTGAGACTACAGGCACATACCACCATGCCCAGCTACTTTTTTGTATTTTTAATAGAGACAGGGTTTCACCCTATTGAGACCATTTAGCCAGAATGGTCTCAATATCCTGACCTCGTGATCTGCCCGCCTTGGCCTCCCATAGTGCTGAGATTACAGGCGTGAGCCACCGTGCCCGGCCAAACTTTTTATCGTAAAGCTTCTCAGTTTCACTAAACTTAGAAACTAATTTCCCATGCTACCAATGTAAGAAATCAAATGCCTTATTGCCTATTAATAACATCTCTATCTAATGGTTATCTTTTTGGAAGATGCCAACATTTATACATGAAAGTCTTCAGTGTGGACCATATTTTTAAAAATTACCTAAGATTCATCAGCCAGTTGCAGTAGCTCATGCCTGTGATCCCAGCACTTTAGGCCAAGGCGAGCATATCACTTGAGTCCAGGAGTTCAAGACCAGCCTGGGCAACATAGCAAAACCCTCTACCAAAAATACAAAAACTGCAGGGCATGGTGGCATGTGCCTGTGGTCTCAGCTCCTCAGGAAGCTGAGGTGGGAGGATGGCTTGAATCCGGGAGGCGGAGGTTGCAGTGAGCCATGATCATGCCACTGTATTCCAACCTGGGTGACAGAGTAAGACCCTGTCTCAGAAAGAAAAAACAAATTCACTCATCAGATATCAAAGTAGCAAAATACATTGGCATATTTTATGCATATCTGGGCAGTTTCACACTTAAAATTTCATGTTTTTAATAAAAGGACTCCATGTAACTGAATATGAGGACAACTTGAAGAAATCATGGGTTTGGAAAGAGCTATACGGTGTTAGAAATATTAGACCGTCCTGCCACGGAATACTGGGTGTATATGGAGGGATGATTTACACTGGAATATTTTACTGGATATTGAGAGGAATGGAGCCATGGACTCTGAAACATAAAGGTAATTCAAACATATTTGAGAGTATGAGTGTTAAAAATTCATTAATTAGAGAAAGTGATTGTTTTAATGTTTTAAACTTGCTTAGAAAAATTATAATTTTAGTGTCTAAGACTAGTATATTATTGGCGTAATATTTTGAAGTTTTTATAAAGAGGCTTAAGAAAGTACTTCAAAATTATATTTTGTTAAGCATCTCCCTCAAAATTGTTGAAGGTTCTGACTTTGAACAGCTCAAGCCAGCCAAGGATTGCACACCTATTGAGTATCCAAAACCCGATGGACAGATCAGTTTTGACCTCTTGTCATCTGTGGCTCTGAGTGGTACTAATCATGAACATGACCAGCCGGCACATTTAACCTTAAGGGATGACAGTATACCTGTAAATAGAAATCTGTCGATATATGATGGGCCCGAGCAGCGATTCTGTCCTGCAGGTAATGATTTTCTAACCATTTTAGGAATATGATTTTGTTCTTTTAAAAAATGATTTGTTATCTCCTTCCATTGCTTAGAAATTGTAAATGACTCTTCATCCAGCTTCCTTTAGGAAACTTTAACTACTGGTGTTAATTTTTGTTAAGTCTAGTTCAGATGACATTTCTCAAGGAAAAAAAAAAAACCGTTTGTCTACACACAGACTAAGATGAAGATTCTTGAACATAAAATACTCTTCGCATGTTCATGTGACTTTAAAGTCATTTCTATCATGTCAGCTCATATGTATTTATTTGAGTGTATGTGCTAGAATAGCAGGTTACGGTCACATTCATTCCAAGGAATGCTCCCAAACTTTAAATTCACCATGACTTTTTTTTTTAGTGCTGAGCTTTCAACTGAAATTACAGTAGTAGGAACCAGGTCTCAAATGATATGGTAAAACAAAATCGTATTCAGATACTTGAAAACTAGTACATGGCTTTTGTCATTACAGTAGGTTTTTAACTTGCTGAGGTTACTAAGGACTGGATCTAATTTGTTTTTTTAGTTGTACGATGAGGGTTCTCTTACCCCTAGTCACCCACAGTCTAAAATAAGAAAATTCCAGAAACAAATAATTTCTAAGTCTTAAATTGTGCCCATTAAGTTTTAAATTGTGTGCCATCCTGGCTTGTCCCACCCTGGATGTGAATTACCCCTTCGTCCAGCATATTCACGCTGTATACGCTGCTACCAGCTCATTGTCACTTGGTAGCCATCGTGGTTATCATCAGATTGACTGTCACAGTATCATGCTTGTGTTCAATAACCCTTATTTTACTTAATGATGTCCCCACAACACAAGAGTAGTGATGCTGACAATTCAGAGATGCCATAAGTGCTTCCTCTAAGTGAAAAGGAGAAAGTTCTCTATAAAGAGAAAAAAATCCCATACTGAGGTTGCTAAGGTCTACGGTAAGACCGTATCTTCTGTGCAAGTGTGAAGGAGGAAAAAGAAATTTGTGCTAGTTTTGCTGTTGGCCCTCGAACTGTAGAAGTTATGGCCAGAGTGTGGCAAGTGCTTCCTTAAGATGGAAAAGGCATCACATTTGTGGGTCAAAGATATGAACAGAAATGTGTTCTGACAGCCTAAGTTGGGTACTACCTGAGCTTTCAGGCATCTACTGGGGATCTTGGAACTTGTCCCCATGAATAAGAGAGGACTACTGTGAAATAAGGGAGGAATTCGAGGCTGTGTGGAACTCAAACACTGAGTGTCAAGTACCCTCGATAGTGAGACTACTCAGCCAAATACTGCTGTACCTTCTTTTATTATGTACATATAATTTATACTCACATCAATAGCAATGTACCAAGGTCTTCATGATATTCTCTATGGGTGAGCATTCAGAAAGCAACCTTTAAGGCTTCTGTGGCTACTCTTAAATTTCTACTTTTCAATTTAAAAAGTTTTTAAAGTTAGGCACTTCAATGTTACTTATTTTTACTTTACAGGAGTGTATGAATTTGTACCCATGGAACAAAGTGATGGATTTCGGTTACAGATAAATGCTCAGAACTGTGTGCACTGTAAAACATGTGATATTAAAGATCCAAGTCAGAATATTAACTGGGTGGTACCTGAAGGTGGAGGAGGACCTGCTTACAGTGGAATGTAAACTGCAACTAGCCAGTTTCTTTAAAGTATGGCAAGCTAACTTAAAATGTTTAGAGATTAACAGATGTCAAAATAACTTTCTGCATATTACTGAACAGTCACAAAATGATCAAGTAAAAATTTTATACTATATCTAAGACTGTCCCATAAAAAATTGTATTTCTTTTAATCTTTATAATAAGAATGCAGCATCTTCCTACCTCTTCAGTTCTTCAGAGATTCAGTACCAAGAGCAAAATTCACTACTGGACTTTACATTTGACTTGCCAAAGTAAAGTATTCAAATATAAAAATGAATATATATATTCTAGACCAGGGGCCAGGAACCATTCACCACTAATGAATGAAGTTTTATTGAAAACACAGCCATATCCATCGGTTACACATTGTCTACGACTAATTTTGAGTTACAACCCCAGAGTTGAGTGGGCGTAACAAATTACATGGTCCACAAAACCTAAAAACCTTATGATCTGGCCCTTGCAGAAAAAGTATGTCCACCCCTGAACAAGTTTTGTGTAGTATGTGTATGTATTATCTGTAAGTATGAAAATCTAGCATCATCCAACCACAGATACATTAAAGAACGGAAGGAAACAATATACAAACTTAAGCTTTCATCTCTTTATTCAACAAGATGTATCTTTACCGAGTTTAAAAACAGACTGAACACCATTATCCTTCATGAATAATGCAGATAACCATTTTAAAAAGCATTTCACTTAGCTGGGTGTGGTGGCTCACGCCTATAATCTCAGCACTTTGGGAGGCCGAGGCGGGCAGATCATGAGGTCAGGAGTTCAAGACCAGCCTGACCTATATGGTAAAAACCCACTGTACTAAAAATACAAAAATTAGTCAGGCTTGGTGGCACACACCTTTAGTCCCAGCTACTCAGGAGGCTGAGGCAGAAGAATCACTTGAAGCCGGGAGGCGGAAGTTGCAGTGAGCCAAGATCACACCACTACTCCAGCCTGGGCGACAGAGCGAGACTCCATCTCCAAACAAACAAACAAACAAAAAAACACTTTATTTACTGTATTGTAACATGTTTATTAAGCATGAACCCCTATCGGTACTCCTAAACTGTAAACAATGAGGAACTGAGGTGTAAAAAGAAACATATTAGGGATCATATTAATAGACAAAATCCTTTAAATTTTCTTATTGCATTTATACAATCACACAATAAGCAAAATTGAATCCTTACTAAGCAAACATTTTTGCATATACTGCCTTCTCTTTATCTTTCTGTGCCTTTATCTTTTGTTTGACTTTCAGCAATTCTGCCTGGATAGCTGTAAAATAAATATGCAATATGAGTTTTTTTCTCAAAACATCCCCAAAATTATGGTAACTTAACAGTTTTAACATGTTAACTCCCCCTTGAAAAAAATTCTTCGTAAAGTCACTAAGCCCTAGTAACAGAAAATCTGAACAATCACACACAGAAATGAAGCCTAATTTTAGAGGACTGTCAACTGAGAACTCAAGTACATAAAAATTTGCCTTCTCCCTCTACCTTAGAGAACAGTAACTGCCTCATTTCATTTCAGTAATAAGAAACCAAAGACATTTTTCAATATCCAGATCTAGTGTTGGTATTCATCGTTGGTTTACTTGAAAAACAAGCTTATTTTTGTCAAAGTTTACTAAAACACATAACCAGTACTGTGATACTAAGGTTGCGGCCACATTCAGCTTAAAGAATGGTCCCAGATGTTAAATTTACCATGAATACTGTGCCTTTCAATGCCGAGCTCTCAACTAGAATAACCAGAATGGAAACAGAGTCTCAAATAATACCATAAAACAAACAGTATCTGACATGTAAAAAACTACAGAGATGATAACTTGGATAACAATGTGAAAAACTAGTATATTCTTGAGTGGGAGTAGAATGTAAGCTCTTTGAGGGCAGGGACTTGACTGTCTTGTTCACTGGTATATGATAATGCCTGTCCCAGCAGCAGGTATTCTGTAATATCTGTTGAACAAACATCTAAAATCTGGCAAACTGAACAATGGTTCCTGAGGATACGTTTTTAAATAACAAAATTAACTTTCACTATAAAAACTGCCAACTTACCTTTATCTTCTGGTGCTATCTCCTGAGCTTTTTTAAGATCAGCCTTTAATTGGAAAAAAACATTTAAGTGTATGATTTATAAAGGTAGTTGTCTGTTTTAAAAAATTAAACACTTCAAACAAAATTTACCAATGCTTGATCATATTCTTTTAATCCTTGCCATCCTTGAGCTCTTCGGTACAATGCTTTGGTATTTGATGGGTCTATTTCAAGAGCCTATAAAAAACGATAAAGCTAGTATTTATATCAAAGTATTAAGTATTAAGCTTGTATGCTAGATCTCAACTCACTGCCTATCAACTCCAAATCCATCCTTCACTGCTCTGTGAAAATGGAGCTGAAACCTGCAAACACCTCTCCTCTGCCAGTGGGCACAAAGTTTTGTCAGTAGAGGGCACTAAATGGACATGGAGGAGAAAGACATTTCTCTACCAGTTTCCAATATGCTTCTCTCATACCATGTTTCAATCTCCTGAATGGGCCTGAACTAACACTTAGAAAAGAAAATCATTTTGAAGAAAAATTTGTATATACTCATACTTGAATTATAGGTATTTTAGGAACAATAACTTTTTATAACTCTTAAAATATCTTTCTTAAATTGTTTTTTTAAGACAGGATGTGGCAGGCTGGAGTGCAGTGGCCTGATCACAGCTCACTGCTGCCTCGAATTCCCAGGCTCAAGTGATCCTCCCACCTCAGCCTCTGAGTAGCTGGGACTACAGGTATGCACCACCACACTAGGCTAATTTCTTTCTTTAGAGATGGTTTCACCATGTTGCCCAGGCTGATATCAAACTCCTGGGCTCAAGTGATCCACCCACCTTGGCATCCCTAAGTGCTGGAATTACAGGCATGAACCACCCTACTCAACCTTGGTCTTTTCTTACAAAAGGTCTTTTAACCTAAGGACTTTATACATTAGGTCTACCCCCGGAACGAACATATTAAAATTATCTTTTGTTTATTTAACATCTTGTAAAGGCCAATACTGAGATTTTATTATCTGCCTCACAGGTCAAAAAGAGATGCTGGGTGCAGCGGCTCAGAACTGTAATCCCAGCACTTTGGGAGGCTGAGGTGGGTGGACAGCTTGAGCTCAGGAGTTAAGAGACCAGCCTGGGCAACATGGCAAAAACCCATCTCTATAAAAAATATAAAAATTAGCTAGGTACGGTGGCGAGTGCCTGTAGTCCCAGCTACTTCGGAGGCTGAGGTGGGAGGATCACCTGAGCCCCGGAGGTTGAGACTGCAGTGGGCTGTGACCACACCACCACATTCCAGCATGGGTGACAGAGCAAGACCTCTTCTTAAAAAAAAAAGGAAATTCAGAGTGAAGAACCATCTTTTCTTTTGGTTAACTTTTTTCCTCTGTTGTATGCTTCCTTCTAAATGTATTCCTATCCCTTATTCCACCTACCCTACCAAATTAGGATCTCATTTTAGTTCTTCTTTCTCTGAGCATAGCTAGTCTAGGAACATGGCCTAATACATAAAATTCTTAAAATGTTTCATTGGAAAACTTTTCAAACTATATAACAGGAAAGAGAACCGTAGTTGCTCTATTTGAGGAAGGTAAAGCTGCTACCTTTCTAGCTTTGTCAATTAGCATACCTGGATGGCCCTCCTAAAAATGAATGACCTGTTCCAATAGTACCCATTCTCCATACACAAGTTTTGATGAACTTAAATTGAAACTGCCCCCCTCCTATCCTGATCACTTATTAAGCTGCTTGAGGGTATGGATCTTTTAAATTAAAATAGCTAGTCTCTATCAGGTGCTTAAAATGTGCACACTAAATGCTTCACATTATGTTATATAAACTTCTATAACCACTCCATGAGGTAGGCAAAATTAACAATTTACTCAAGGACTACAAAGCAAGTTAGTGAGTAGCAGAGCTCTAATTTCTGAAAAAAGCCTGTTGGGCGCGGTGGCTCACAGCTGTAATCCCAGCACTTTGGGAGGCTGAGGCAGTGGATCACCTGAGGTCAGGAGTTTGGAAACCAGCCTGGCCAACATGGTGAAACCCTGTCTCTACTACAAATAAAAAAATTAGCCAGGCGTGGTGGCGTGCGCCTGTAATCCCAGGTACTCGGGAGGCTGAGGCAGGAGAATCACTTGAACCCAAGAGGCAGAAGTTGCAGTGAGCCAAGGTCATGCCACTGCACTCCAGCCAGGGCAACAGAGCGAGACTCCATCTCAAAAAAAAAAAAAAAAAAAGAAAAAGAAAAAGAAAAAAGCCATGCCTGACTGACTCCATAACGCACATTCTTAATCATTCCTGGCTTTGTCTTCCGATGCCTAACATATAATAGGTGCTCTTAAGTGAATACATGAGCTGATGATGTATGTGCTTTGAGAAAAAAAGGTAAGGATCTTCATAGCTGTTAAGTGACATAGTTATAAGTAAAATGAATGGAGAGAAAAAACTGAGGGTCCAAAATATTTAGAACCAAAGTGTTTTCTTAAGCCTCATTAGGTCCTACCAATAAGATATATTCATCTATATATAAATTGTTACTATTCAAACTAAGTCATAATCCAACTTATTCAAAAAGTTCAAGATCAAACAGACTTACCTCCAAACAACTGTCAATTGCTTCCTGCCAATTTGACATCTTCAGTTTACAAGCACCAATATTCAGTACACAGCTTAAAGCTATAGGTTGCAGCTTGGCTCTATCTGCTGTCTCGATAACAGCCTTTGAACTGTCAACATATCTGCAGAATGCATTAATTAAAGCAGTATGAAAGGCCATATAAACAAGAGTTACTCTTCTTCTCTATATCCAGAAGTGTTATGTCATTTCTGACATAAAAAGCTCTAAAAATGCAAATATTAATAATCATAATGATCACAATTTTATTGCTTATTTTTCTTAAGAAGGCTTACTTATTTCTGTTCCAACTTTTTTTCCCAAAGTGTTCAAAGAGGCCAGTTTAAGACCAATTCCCAGATCTAATTATGCACTAGTAACACTTTTCTATTTTTAAAACTCGGGTCCTATGTACTTTCCAACATAATTATGTTTGGAACCAGGATTCTCATAACAGGAGAAGGGAATTCACATTGACTTTGCATTGTCCCTGAAAAGGGCCCAGAAACTGAGCCCACCTGCCCCCCGGAATTTGGTTTCTAAAGTTTCCTTTCTCTGAAAGACATCAGAGGTCCTTGGAGAAACTGCCACATCAGATCTGAAAGCAAGGTAAGATGAGCTTGGAACATCTTGTGCAAAAAAGCAAGTGCTCACAGACTAAGAGGAACATGCCAAAGGAAAGGGGCCTTCCACTGAACAAATTTGGAACCCTGAAAAAGGATGACGGTAATATACTGTACTAACAAACAGAATTGAAAACTACCCATAACATATCCCTCTAGTCCTTGCTACTTGGGAGGTTGAGGAGGGAGGATTACTTGGGCCCAAAAGTTCAAGACCAGCCTGGGCAATATAAGGAGACCTTGTTTCTATAAAAGGAAAAAAAAAGAAAAAAAAAATATCCACAGGTCTATAGTGATACTTTAAAAATATGCGGGAGGTTCTTGCAAACAGAAAAATGCTAGTTAATAACTGTACAATCATAAAATTAGAAGATCGGTATGATAACAGATGCAGGCATGGATTTTCATTGATGCCAAGATCCACTGTGTGAAAGGTTGTTGGGGACTGGATATTCACACAATTTCACAGTACCACCTCAGACTACGTAACAAATGCTTCTGGCTGGCATTACTTTAACCACGTGTACAAACTCAAACAGGCCAAAGCGAAATGTGTCTTCAAGATGTGATATCACAGGTAATATAAAACAACACCCACCTAAGTCTTCTTGCAAAAATATTTCACCTCAAACTAATCTTAAGGAAACAAACACATACAGATGGAAGTTTATAAAAACTGACTTGGACTCCACAAAAATGTAAATGAGTAAAAAACCAGGGGAGGTAGGAAACATAGGTAACTAAAGAGACTACAACCAAATACAACACATACTCTTAGTTTAGACCCTGGATTTTTCTAAAAAAATTGAAACAACTGGGGAAGTTGGAATATGGAATACATATTTATTTTCTTTTTAAGACAGACTCTCATTCTGTCACCCAGGCTGGAGTGCAGTGACATGATCTTGGCTTGCTGCAACCTCTGCCTCCCAAGTTCAAGCAATTCTCATGCCTCAGCCTCCCAAGTAGCTGGAGTTATAGGCGTTTGCCACCAGGCCAGGCTAATTTTTGTATTTTTAGTAGAGGGGGTTTCATCATATTGGCCAGGCTGGTCACAAACTCCTGACCTCAGGTGATTCGCCTGTCCATCTGCCTCCCAAAGTGCTGGGATTACAGAGATGAACCTAAATATGGATTACATGTTATCTATCAATATTATTTTGGAGTGTTTTAATGGCATTGAACTTATGTAGAACGTCTTTGTTTCTTAGGAAATACATGCTGAAAAACTTAGGATGGAGTATCCCAGTGTCAACAACTATCAAAATAGTTCCGTGAAAACAAAAACAGCAAAAGTTAAAAATTGGTAAATGTAAGTAAAATGTGTGAGTAATTATGTACTACTCTTTCAACTTTTGTCTTTTGAAATTTTTCAAAACAAGCTGAGGGGAAAAAAAAATGCAACTATTTCAGCACACCTGGTTATTCCACAAGTAATTTGCAAAAATATAATGAGCAATTCTTAATTTTAGTTTATAATTCAATTTATAATTTCTTAAAAATAATTTGTTAGAAATAATATTACCTTATAATTTGTTAGAAATAATATTACCTTAAAACTTTTGCATATTTTTTAATGGCCATCTCCCAGTTCTGGGATTTGAAAAAAGTATTTCCAATGTTTTTTAAGTCTTCTGTTATTAATAAAATTTTATCTACCTGTATAAAAAAATAAATGTTGGGTTTTAGTAAGTAATGTGGTTTAATGCTAGATTCTATCACATGAGAGACTGACACAGAAACTCAAACTTTTAGTATTTTTATTAAATATTAAATACTAATATAAAAATATTTATATTTTAGTAAAAATATAAATATTTTTACTTATTTAAGTAATTATGGTTTGACTAATCTGAAAGTACTTACGTCTTTTAAGTCTATATCCGCATCCTCAGGGAAATCTGGATGACTGTCGCCAGAGCCATCTTTTGGGAATATTCCCCAATCATCTCCTTCCTTCAATTCTCCACATTCTGCAATAACGCACAACTGTAAAAATAACCCTAAATTGTAGAAGTGCACTATCATAATAATGAGAGATAAAAGCTATACAGCTGAAATCGCGTGCAACACTGTCCAATTCACAGATTTATGTGAGGAGGCTTATTTATCTGCTAGAATTACTATAATGCTGTTTTCATACATTCCAACTATGTAATATACGACAATGTCAGTATTTACATAAGGGTTTCATTGTCATTCGGGAGCTCAATAAACACAGAATAAGTTGGCAATTTTAACACTGTCTATGTAAGTGGCGTTAGGTGGGGCATGAGCTTTCTTCCGGTTTACTATGATTCTTGTCATACACTGAGTGACAGCCTACCTCCTACAAGTAATTGAGCTTCCAACTCCCACTCACAACCCTGTCACTTAGGCTGGGTAGTATTACAGTTATTTGGGTTTTTTTTTTAAATTTTTTTTTAAATAGAGACAGAGTCTCACTATATCACCAAGGCTGGTTTGGAACTCCTGGTCTGAAGTCTTCCCACCTCAGCCTCCCAAAGTGCTGGGGATTATAAGCATGAGTCACCATGCCCAGCCAATATTATGGTCATTTTGATTCACAGACATTTAGTACACAAGGGTCTTCAGAGATAATCTAGTCTAAATCCATAAGTAATTTAGACAGGATGAGAAAACAGGTGTGGAAAAGTTAAGTAACAAGGTCAAGGCCAACCCTCTGGTTAATACTACAATCCAGACAAGATTTTAGGTTTAGTATCCTCATTCTACTACGTACTACTAAACATACTGACGCAAAAGTTTTGCAGGTATAGGAAGGCTTAATGTAAACTACCAAAGATCACCAACATGAAAGCTGAAATAATAAAAATCTCCTTTAAAACTACCCTAATTATCTTTCCCATTATAGAAAATTAAAAAAATTAAAAAGTGGCAGATCCAGGCTCCTCTACCCAAAACTATTATAACATTTTTCCAGCTAATAATCATCTGATCCTTTTACTTACATTTCTTTTAGATAGCAACTAAGAGCCCGGGCACAATGGCCTAAGCCTATAATCCCAGCACTTTAGGAAGCCGAGGCAGGCGGACCATGAGGTCAGGAGTTCGAGACCAGCCTAGCCAACATGGTGAAACCCCATTTCTACTAAAAACATAAAATTAGCCAAGTGTGGTGGTGCAACGCCTGTAATTGCAGCTACTAGAGAGGCTGGGGCAGGAGAATAGCTTGAACCCGGGAGGCAGAGGTTGCAGTGAGCCAAGATCCCGCCGCCAAAGCACTCCAGCCTGGGCAACAGTGCAAGACTCCATCTCTTTTTAAAAAAAAAAAAAAAGACAGCAACTAAGATAAGTGCGTTTCACTGTAACTTTTTACTTACTTTGGCAGGTTTTTCACCTTTCACTTCTACGTTTTCCAATATCCTTGCCACTCCTATTCCTTTAATTACTTGGCCAAACACCACATGTTTCCCATCCAAATGAGGAGTTGGAACTGTTGTGATAAAAAACTGAGAACCATTTGTGTTGCGGCCTGCATTTGCCATGCTCAGTAAACCCTCCCGATCATGCTGTAGAAATAAAAAGCATTAAAAGAAAACCAAGGTCAGACATGTTCTTTCTGAACTGTTTGTTAGTCTGAATTGTTCTTTTACTGAACGTAAAACTGGGGTGGACTATATTACTATTCAGATCAAACTTTACATTTTTTTACTTTTCACTTTAAAAATTTTTAAAGTACTTTTTACTTCTTGTAAACTGCAACCTTTAATGCACAAAACATAGAGAGAGCATTTAATCGCTTTTTAAACTTTTAAAAAAACCTTATGAAAGTAAATAAGGTAACAGAAAAAACAGTCAGGGGGAGGGTTATTTCTAACTTCGTCATGAGAAAATATTTATACTTCATCTTTAAGAAGAAGATGCAGCATTAAGAAACTCTTATATTTTGTCCTTTTTATGATGGGCATTCTTTTTTTCTGGGAAGACCTGAATAGCCTTTTAAGTTCATAAATATGCCTACATTATGAGTCTTCCTTTACACATCAATAAACTGGGAACAATAATGGGATACTGAATTCACCCAAGACATTCAGTTTGGTACTTTCCTAATCTCAAAAGAATCTAAATCATATGGGATTTGGATTAGGTTTTCATCCCAGGTGAATCACTTCTTCAGAGAGTGCTCAAAAGAAACTGCTGCATATATCTGAAATCCAAATTCTGCTCTGGCATAATCCTGTCAAAGATTCTATGAAACCCAATTTCTTAATCTTTTCACTTTATCTCCTAGGCTTTCTAAATGTATTCCTTGTTGGTGCATGCACCGTAACTCTGATATTACATGTCTCATGACATCCCTACCCCACTGAAATGCCTTTTACTCCCCTCAATCTAAATCAAATCCAGAATTCAAGGCCACCAAGTGTATAGAAAGCAAGAACCATGTGTCTTTTCTATAGGCTCATTTCTCTATATCAATGTGATCATCACATAACCTTTAGTTTTCATCCTTCTGGTAGCTTCCTTTGGTACAATAGTAAGTAGAACTTTATTTCCTCAACAGCTCATTGCCTTTGTCTTTCCTCACCCATGTCCCTTTTTTAATTCTGCATCAATACTATAGTTCCTGCCTAAGCAAATTTCAGCCATGTTGCCACCTTGCGAGACCCAGTCTACACAGCCTAAGTAGCCATTCCTCCTCAATGACTTCTGTAATAATTTGGACTGCATAAATCACATCTTTTTCCTACAGTACAAATAGTATGTATTAGCAATGTTATACAAACAAGGATATTCAATAAATTTAGCATTTATTTATATACTATTATTCTCCAATAGTCCCATGTATTTTAATTTTGCTTCTGAGGTAGGATTATGGATCCCTTGTCATCAAGGCCTTTCATTTTTATAAACCCTTTGGTGCCAGTGACGGTGCTGCACACAGAGTTGCAGTCAATAAATACTGGCTGGAAGACTGATGACATTTTTTATCCTAATAAGCTTGTTCATATTCCTTATTTCCAAAAATATCACTTTATCATTGTACTTACATGTCCACTCCTATAACCTGAATGATGTAATATACCCCAGTTACACCTTGTGACAACAAAGATAAGAAGGCATAGGCACCACTAAAGTCCTTTAGGAGCTTGGACATTAACTATATCTGCTAGTTTGCAAAGCCCCTCGCAACCTGGATATTAGTGATGATTTTGTTGCTCTTCAAATTCAAGGATAAAGATGTACAAGTTACCATCCTTCCAACAATGAAAACATTTTTCCTGGAAACAATTTTGCCAGATGTTAGTGGCACTTAAAAACTCATTGGCTTAACTGAAGCATATAAAAACTGGATCACAATGAAATAGTGCTAAATAAAATCATTACTGAATAAAAACTTTTCCATATTAAAGAACCTATTTACAAAAGTGGAAATGGAAAAACCTAACCACACTTGAGACATTTTTTAGTGTCTTACTCCAACAAGTATTCCAGATATATAACAATCTTTTTATCAGCAATGACATGCATTTTCTCTACTTTACCTTATAATGGAAATTTTCATCTTCAAATTTTTCACCATAAATACTTTCTCCACCTGTCCCATTCTGATTTGAGAAGTCTCCACCCTGGATCATAAATTTCTTAATAACTACAAAAAAGGAAAATGGCTATTAGTGACTGAGACACGGATGCGTTTGGCAATACTCACTCATAAATATGTGCACAGACTGCTTCCTAGTGCATGACTCTAGGCATGTCACTCTCCTGTTTCTTTCCCCACCCATCCCCACAACTCCAAACTCAAGGATTTTCACCACTGGAATCCAAACAACTTTCACTGCCTGATCCCTGCTAACATTCAGAAAATCAGTTCAAATGATACTTCCCCTATAAAACTGTCACTGAATCCCCAAAACTGTATCTCCTAATTTTTCTCCCATAGTATCTTGACTCTGCCTCAGTAACATACAGCATTATGATCTGCCCCTTCCAGCAAACAGTGAACTCGTTAAATACAGCAACTATATTGTTTTACATCCTTGTAACTATGTGCATGTGCACATATTAGTCACTCAGTAATGTCTGCTGAAAAAAGATCAATTATTTCCAATAAATTTGTTCTACCTTAATGGAAAATTTTCAGCAAATACATCACTTTGTGTCAAAAGTTGCCAAGATCGCTTCCATGTCCAGAGAACCCTAGAGCTCACGAGAATCAGCATTTGGTTGTATCACAGTGGTAAAGATACACAGCGGGATAAGGGAAGACACAGGCAAAGTCTGGAGAAATCCATATGCATGCTTCCTTGTGCTTTCTCCCTCCCATGAAGTGCCACAGAACACACACTTCCCCCAGCAACAGAAATGCAGCAACATGTACACAACAGTTCTCCCCAGGAGAGCCAATTACAGACTCAGCACCCAAGGTATTTATCAGGCACACTCTACCTAGCATGTACCAAAATTCCAGACTCCCCAAAAGAAAGCAGATGTTCATTTTGTACAGATAGACTAGGCATAGTAAATCTCCCTTACTATCTAGGAAATGGTTCAAGTATCAAGTTCCCTGACTCCAGCCAAGTGCTACTCTTGTAGGCAGACCTAAGGATAGCAGTCTCACGCTTGCTATGTTAAATATTTTCTGCATATACTTTATTAGCATATTTCAGGTTTTTATTTAAAATGAAAGTAACTAGTTTAAATACTTTTTTTTTAATGTTAATTTTTTTTTTTTTTTTTTT